ATTTAGCTGTTTTTTGCAAGAGATTCACCATTTAATTCTCTACAGAATGGTATATAGAAGATAATTTTTTAGACTCGAGATGCCGTTTTAATTGACAACAAATGATATACTCCAACAAATTCAAAAGTTTAACTCGAAAAAGTGTATCTCATCAATATAAGTTTGAATGTATGCGTTGTGCCAACATCGAATAGACCAAAATGTAGCCCTTGGAATTTTCTATCGAATGGCTATAATGCAAATTTTTTGTCATTATTTCTGTGTTTTCAATAATGCTTTTTGCAAAAGCCATGTGACTATTTTTTCTGTTTTTTCAATATACATTTTGGTGCTATTTGTAAAATGAACAGTGCTCACTCAAAAATGAACCAGTCAGACTCATTTTTGCGTCATTTTGAAGAGAAACATTTTATCTATTCATTTCGCGTGCCAAATGTCCGATGTCATTTCCCTGAGAAAAATCGAAACACTGATATCATAACTTGTGTTCATTTTCGGCTGCCAATTATTAACTAAACATTTTTACCACTTCGAGCGGATGGAGATAAAATGAGTCTTGCCCCCGCTGATAGAGAACATCTAAACGTGTCAAGAACAATCTGAGATCTTTATTCTGTCAGTTTGGACATGGCTTTCAAAACTCCAAATCGTCGTGGGTTTTGGGGTATTTAGATTTCTGTTCAATTAAGACGGCATCTTGAGTCTCAGAATCATCTTGTGCATACCATTTTGTAGAGAATTAAATGCTGAAACGTTTGCAAAAAAACAGCTGAATTTTTGAACCTGAGGATCATGAGCAAACTTCAGAATACTGAGAGTTCGGTTTCTTCTGCCCCACCTGAAAAATGTATAGTAGCCTCAAAGGAAGTACGTTTATTAAAACGTTTTATGACATTGAAGTAACAGTGAAAAACGTGTTTATAGTTTTCCTTATAGAGTCTCAAATTTCGTTGGTTAGCTCCCTAGTTGACTTGCCCAAGATCTTGCTTTCTTGGTGCAAGAAGTCTCTTTGATTTATGGTGACTATTCTTGCTTTTATTTCTTGCTTTCTTGCAGGGAATCAACTACCAGAAAGAATGGGCAAGAAACGTAATTCTTGCTCTTTTGATCCAACTACCCAAGCCAAGTGAACTTACATGCTCTAAACTTGTCATGGCCACGCTAGATTTTCCACGAAAGGACACGTTACGTGGCCGTGGGTGTGGCCTGGAGATGAGACGAAATCATTACGTCATTCTTTTTCGTGCTATCCAACATGTGACTATTCGTTATGGAGTTTTATTTCTCTTACGTCTTTCGTTTTTATATTCATGTAGAATGCGAAAGTGGCGAAAGTAGTGTATGCGTTCATAGATAAGAAAATAAAGTATATATCCTAAACTACAGTATTGATCTCTCGAATAGAGAGAGGTCTACTTTATTTCCTTCCTCCAGCAATAGAGCCGTATCAAATAAGGAATATCTCTATCTTTTCACATCTTGGCAAATGTCTATATGTTAGGAAATGTTTATATAGACATGTGCTAACATTTGCCATGACGTGAAAAGATAGAGATATTTCTTATTTGATACGGCTCTAATGATTCACATTATCTTCTATAGATCAAATGTGACAATTCACTTTCGAATAATATACGAAAGTGACATTTCACTTTTGTGTGTTTCAAAATGGCTAAAGTAACGAAAGAAAATAAAAGTCTTTTTCGTTTTCTTCCGCTTTCTACTGAAAAACTTCCCGTTTCGACAGAAAGGAGAGAAATATATACTACGGCTTTCGTATTATACGAAAGGATGCGAAACTTTCGCATGCCGTCTCATCTCTAGTGTGGCAAAGCCGCATGGCTTTCAAAAATTCTTACAAGCTCGCCGTGCCATGTGACTTGCTTTTCTGACTGCCCTAGAGGATGTGCAGTTTGCCTGATCAGACCACTGGTGAGTAAACTGTGAGTAAATAAGTCCTTGTCCTGTTTTCTTGGTCGGGATCTGTTTCTTTTCCTGACCAGTGAAAGCAATCAAGAACAGGACCTGCTTTTTGGATAATCATCACGCATTTAATTAATACCCCGGCGTTTAAAGTGACTATAGCTTTTTCATGTTTGATTACATCATATTTTACTTGGACTTTTCTTCGAGAACATGATGTAAACAGTTTTTGAGGTTTTTATCAGCCCCATGATCCCTTTAGGACCTCACAATCTTTATCTGCAAATGAAAAACGGCATGTTTTTACGGGACTTATACATCAAAGACAAAGGATTCAGTGCGAGTACACAGCAATTTTGGCTCTCTAATGCAAACCCTTCTTGCGGTTTCTTGCCATAATGTTGAACTATTTTCGATCTGTTTTAAGTTAATAATAAGCTCTGTGACTTCCAGTCAAGAAATTTTCTATCTTGGATGAAGTTTTCTATTCCACTTCACGTGTTTCTCAATTATGGCTCGACATATAATGAGCATTTGATCTCAAAATAAAGTTGAGAATAGTTGATGTTTTATGGTTCGCGTGTGAATGTTACCAATAAGGTAACGTTTGCCGCATGTGAAGAAAACATTCACGCTTGAACTTTCAGAGAATGTATATCCCTAGATATTATCGCTAAGATCAGTTCGTTATTAGAGTCAATCTAATATTCTGTGAATGATGCGGAATGGCTGAGCCACAATCCTCTGTGCATCAAACAGAACCGAACCGATCATCGCTACATCCTGAGAGTCACTAATAGCAAAGCGATCTTAACAAGATACTCACAATCACTATAAAAAACACCAACCTTTAATGCATTTCTCACTTCTTGCATTTTTATTTTGAGGTCTTTGCACAGTCTATACTTTTAATTGAGCCTATACATCAGAGAAGTACTCATATCTGATGCACACTTCTTGAGAAAGGTCCATTTTTGGTATCCACGATAGCTAAAGGAAGACTGTTCAACTTTGCGCTAATCAGTGTTTTCGTTAGGAGCGAAGTTTAGGGGCTTCCAGCTTTTGGAACAAAATTCTATTTGTGACAAAAGTGCTCACCAAAAAAAAGTTATGAACAAAAATTTCTCTCGTTTAACGCTTTTTCTAACTTCTTTTTACTTTTGTTTAACTATCATCAACAAATATTTTAACATTTCGAGATTCTGCTCTTGTAGGATTAGCATAAAAATTAGAAACAATATAGTCAATATCATCATTGTTCATATACGGTTTCATTATTTTGTTCGTAATAATTTAATATAAAATCAACTTGGTTTATCGATAGATGCAATCATGGTCGAAATAACCGATGTTGATTCTGGTTGTTGTTTTGAAAACTCCGATTACACCTGAGAAGGTCTCCTCGTTAGGTGTAATCCAGTACCCTAAATACTTAAAAACCTTGATCCATTTTATTTGATGTAAACCACAAGAAATATGAAATTTGGGGCCTCCAATTGCTCGAGCTGATCAGATAGCGTCCGTTTTTGTATAGTTTATTGGCTGTAAATTTGAAATAGCGTACGTACATTTCCAAATTCTCAAAAATACTTTCAATCGTTTTTCAAGATCTATACATTGCTCGTTATACTTTACTACAATTCTGCCAGCTAGCACTGCTGCAAGATCGTCCGCAAAAGAGCAAGAGACAATAGCTCAATAAATCACCCATGTCACAATGGTAGGCGATAAAAAGAGTTGGAGTAAAAATCGATTGAATTTCTACAAATGTGCGCCTTTTCTCTAACCACGTTTTGATCCATTTTGAATAAGCTCGATGAAAAAACGTGAGTGTGTAAAGCTTTGTTATCCTCGAGCAAAGAAAATAAGAAATAAAATTCTAAAACAAATAGCTAATCAGACTAATATGTGTAGGTGTATTTATTACTATCAAATTTATTACTGTGTGAAATGCACAGTTCCTTGCTTGCGTTAGAAAGATCGAAGGCATGTAACGCCGTAGAAGTGCCTTGCTCTTTCCACTATGAAAGTTACAGAATTACTGATAATGATAGTTTTTATAGCAGAAAAAACAAAGAATTACATTATTATTATTACTATTATCAATGACTGTGTCAACATTCATGGTCAACCATTATCAAGTGACAACATGAATGTTGTCACCTGAGAATGATTGAAGCAAAGAAAAGAATTTTAAAAAATCAGAAGGAAATTTTTGCTACTAAGTGAGTCTGGGTTTGTTACACTAAGAAACTGATCAGGCTTTTTAAGCTTTTAAGCTCCCAACTCATATGGAAAGGGTATGAGTTGAGCTCACAGATCTCTAATTTTCCCTTCTTAGAGTATAAAACTACTATGAAGAGCATAATACGACCTTGTCAAAATCGATATGAATGTTGGTTTATTTCGAGCTTTCAATGCATAACTTTCATCATCATCAGGAAATGGCAGGAAATGAAAATATTGACAGCATACATACATTAATGAATCAACTCCTTGTGCAACCTAAGAAACATAATAAAGTCATGCATGATCAGATGAGTTCGTCCAATTTGGATTCATCATTTTGAGCTCGATAGGAAAGAAAACAGTATAATAGATGAGAGATCTATCGATCTTTCTCTTACTTCACTATTCCAGTTCTTCGATTTGGTCAGCTGACTAGTTTTCATCGCTTCGTCACAACGAATGATTCTATGCTTCGAGTCTTAATTCTACATCGCTCTATTGGACGCATATATATATCAGTACGATATAGCTCTTGTTTCGTTAATGCTACTACTATAGTTAAAGGCCGTCCCTAAGATGTCCAGTTAGACTGGAAGCAGAAAGATTTTCCTCATTCATATTTGGATATCCCAGACACTGCCCACTGTTAGTTGCACTGTTAGTTGCCACAAACCCTTTCCTCTCACAATACTTTTCCATAATTTTTCTACTGCAACAAGAATTCGATTTTATAGATCAGACTACTTTATAAAATTAAACTTACAACTCACTAGCGAATGTCTCACAACAAACATAATTTCGCTTTAAACATGTTCTCACATATTTTAGGATCAATACGATAAGCCAGAATGACCCGATATCAGACATTACAATATAATCAAACAATGCGTCGAATTCCAATTCGGATTTTCGATGATGTTGAATGTATTCTACTGGACGACATCCATAAAGCAATATCCACTCGTATTACCGCTTTAATAAGATCCAATAATGATGCAATAACATGTGAAAGAGATTCGAAAGGAAAAGAATTAGATCCACTAAGATTCAAAGCATATCCAGATGAATTACTTGATTGTTATATATCTGATACTGACATGACGACAAATTGTAAGACACACGAGAAACTTGATCTCATAATTGACAATCAAGGTAAAATATTATCACGATTAGATGTTATACTTCGTCAAGCGTACCAATTAGCTGAATTTACCGTACCAAGATTCTTCATTATAATGATAGAGAAAAAGTCACGATTGAACCCAGATAACCTTCTACACAGTACATATCGTTTATTCTTCCTTTGTGAATGTAACAAAGATGAAATGCATTTAGCTTATCATGAAGGCTACATAATCAATCAGCCAAGAGAATTTTTCATCAAGTATGGTCCTTATGTCAAAAACATGATTTATGCTTTTAAAGCATTTGGTACTGTCGCGGGTTTTATTCTTCCGAATTTCGCATTCGCTCAACAAGTACCTATACCGAACATACTCAAAGATGGAAAGTTTTGGAATGATTTCGCCGATAAAATGAATACAGTCGACAATGTTGTGAATAATGTCATGGCTAAACCAACTGATATAACTATGAATCCAGCTTGTTCTCAAACATATGAAGGTGCTGATTTAAGACAATTAGAAAAATTCTTGAAGAAAACAGATGATTGTCGAACATTGGGTAATTTGTATCGAACAACTACTGATGAAGGACATGTAAGATGGGTGTGTATAAAACATTTTAACGAAACCTACAGTAAAACACGCATGGAGGAGTTTATAAGATTGTTTGAAGCTATGGGAGGTGAATTTCACCGACAACAGGATCAAGCAATCTTAAAAAAAGCAGTAAATATAAAAAAGTTCTGTGAATTACTGAGCAAAGGCTTCAACATGTATAAATTATCCTTTATTTCGTACGAGATGCGTGAAAAAGACTTTGTTACTTTGCTGGAAGCGATCAACCGTTCATTCATTAAAGAGTTGGAATTGAGCAACATCAAAA